TTAAATGCACATTTGTTGGGTGTTAAAAGTCAAAACACTTCAGTATTTACAGGGTTAATGATGTTTGTCAAGTCACATGTTTGTTTGTAACCAATCTGTTTAGACAATAGGAAGCCCGGGAACTTTGGAGCTAGTTTGCTAGTCTGATTGGAAACCAAGGTGTCAAGTATTTAGCATATTGGCTTCTCCTCCCCTTCTTTGTTCTGACTGAGAAGGAGACGCCATTAGTCTCTTCCCGTTTTACCTTTTAGCTGCAAGGATGTAGAGATATCAGCTCTTTGTTATTTTCATATCCTGTGTACCTTTTCCCCATGTTAGGTTTATAGTAAACTCTTATATTTTAAAACAGGCCATGGACTCAGCCTCTTAATACTCTGCTGACTTACTCAAAAAGAATCCCAACAACCTCTCCTCCTCCAGATGTTGATCCAGTTCCCTCTTGTAGACTTCCCTGGGAATGGATGCCTCCGCGCCCGGCCTGGGCTGGGCTCCTGCTCCGGGTGGCCGCGGGCGGAGGCCCGGACGCCGCTGGAAGCAACGACGGGAAAGGCCCTGGCCCCTGCGAGGAGCGGCCTTTGACCCAGGACGCCGCTTTGGCCACACCCGGAGCAAAGCACCTCCAGAGAGCATTTGCATGATGTTGGGGAGGGGAAATGCCGCGAATAATTATAATAATCTTTAAAAGAAGCCAGATTTCAAATATTTGCCCGTGTCTACCTCAACTCAAAGAAGACGGGGACGGCAAAGGATGAGATGGTTAGACAGTGTCACAGATGCAACGAAAACATGAAGTTGAGCCAACTTAAGAGGACGGCGGAAGACAGGAGGGCCTGGCGGGATCTGGTCCATGGGGTCGCGGAGAGTCGGAACCGACTGTGCGACTGAACAACAAACACCTCAACTCTCGCGGGGACCAATGCAGAAATGGGGGGGGGATGATTCAGCGGGGGAGACCTGGTTGGAAGGACGGACCGGGGCCGCCGAGCCCTCGAAGACCAACCTGCAGGCCGGACTGAGATTGTGGCGTCACGCTCATTTCTGCACCGATCCAGCTTCATTACGGTTTTTAATCTATGAACTGAGACTTTCGCTCTGGCCTTTCCTGGTGGTGGGAGCCTTAGACTCGCTTTACTGGTTTCACTGCATTCTTCTCCATTCTTGAATCTTATTTTGCGGCATGGCTTGTTGCCTGCGTCATAACTATCATTTTTGCAGTGTTTCCCAGTGTTGTTGTTGTTGTTGTGATCCAGTTTTAAGGACTGCCTTGTCTGTCTTTCCAACGCACTGTTTGTAAGACTGCAGCTCGTGCCTGGTGCCCCAGGGAGACCTGCGGTCTTCTACAAGCAGAGCAAACCAGGGAGACGCTTAACAGCACGGGGGGAGGGGAAGGGGGACAACTTGACCGGTTCTCTCTGGGGCACTCGGCGCTTCCCCCGCCCACCCCCCCCCCCCCCAGCTGCCCAGGGTCAGGCGCTGTGCAACTCC